GTTTGAACATGGATCATGTTTTACAGCATTCCTCTTTAAAGAGGTTTGACCTGTTTTACGTTGCTAAAAAGTGTTGATGCTCATCTAGAAGATAGTTCTCCTGTAATATTACTCTAACATTTGTGACCTTTGATGGAAGTTGCTGTGTCCACTTCTAAATGCTCTAAATGGTATTATCTCCTCCCTTCTAAGAGGGAGTAGATCAGTGGTGAGCGACACTTCAGCTACACACCATGACAGATGGTGAGTGGGGACATCTAAGGAAAGGACATCATGGTGTATTTTAGGGTTTTTCATGCATGTCTTTCAGAGTTTCTAGGAATCCTGAATGAAATGCATGAAAAAACTTTTTTTCTTCCCCCCCGGATTGCTTTACCCTCTGTCTCTCAAGTGTTCCTTTTCTAAAATAAATAACTTCAAAAGCTAAGAGATATACCAAGGATTTGAGATTAACATTTTTTTTTTATCTCGAGCTTCTGCATCTTACCAAATGTCCTAAAAAATTCACTCTGTTTGCCAATATTATGTCTTTGTTTACTAATTATTTAGGACTAAGCACAGGTGGGTTACCTATATAGCAAAAAATACCTGGATTTAAAATAATGATTTCTTTATACCGCTCTTTTTATTGAGATGTAGTTCCTGAGTGATTTGTTTTTTTTTTGTTTTTTTTGATGATGAAATACGACTAGATTTACACAATTCTTTCCCTCTTAAACTTGCTCTGCACTGCTGGTCAACTTGTTACTTTAAATTTCATTTAATTTTATCGGAAAACATCAATACCACTTCTAGCTTTTCCCTTCTTGGGCTCTTCAGATACTCATTGATTTTTATCTTCTAGAATAACGGACTAAAAAACTTTTTCATGTTGCGACAGTAGCTAGTAGAGATGCACTGATCCAATACCTGGATCGGATATTGGAGATTTGATATCGGATATCAAAGAGCCAATCCAGTGCACTTTACGTCTTGCACTTTAATTCTTTCTTTTTGCTGATAATTTGTTGATAAATAACATAATGTACATTTATATCTGTTCAATCATCATTCTAATGGTGACAATATCATTAAACCGCAAATTGAGAGGTATGATCAGCATGTGTGTTAAAAAGCCAGTGTTGGGCATGTTACTTTGAAAAGTAATTAGTTATAGTTACTAGTTACTTCTCCCAAAAAGTAACTGAGTTACTCCACAATAAAAGTAACTAGCTACTACTAAAAGTAACTTTTGCATTTCTCGTCCCCATAATCCTCACCACCCAGCCCCCACCTTCTCGCCGTGTGTTTCAAAAGCCAGCTGAATAGAGTGGATGACAAAGACAAGTACCTGCAGAAAGTTTTGCATTTATTGCAACTCAACGTAAATGACATCAGGGGGGACGCTATCTGACGGGGCTATAAACCCTGTTAGATAGCGTTCCCCAAGTCTAACATGGGGGACTAGAACAGCAAATAAGGTTAATAATCTAAGCACTCTGGAGTAAAGAGGTTGAGGTATGTCTGTTCTTAGCCTCACAGGCTCCAAACGAGAGCTCATGAGAGATACGAATGAGTTACACAGCTTCCTTCATGGCATGAAGAGGAGGACTGTTGTTTTGAGGAGATCCATTTGGCCAGTGAAAGATATACATTAACCTAACAGATAATGGCCTTGATGAACTCCAGTTGTTTTTCCTCCAAATGTTCAAGTGTGAGAAAGCTCTTTATGCAGTGGGTGGGTTAGTTCCCCTGGGGGAGTGTATGTGGGGGGGGATTTTGTAAGGTATAAATGTATGTACTGAAATGCCTCAGTCAGAGCTCTATCTCTCCGTCCGACGACGTTAAATACATTTGAACCTTATTTCTTGCAAGAAATGCCTCTGCCTCAGCTTCCTATCTCCACAGCACAAAGTAGTGGAAATGTACTGTTTGGTCTAATTACTCATACTTGTCATCTTCCAATTGGACCGGGTCGAGGGGTCAGCAGTCTCTGCAGAGACTCCAAGACTTCACTCTCCACACACATCCCCAGATGTGAGGGCAGAGGAGCTCCCAGGCCAGCTGAGAGACAAAGTCTCTCCATCGTGTCTTGGGTCATCCCCTGGACATCCTACTGGCGGAACATGACTGGACCACCTCCTGAAGGAGGCATCCAGAACAGATATCTGATCCAGACATCTATTTAAAACGGACAGTCCTCTTACTCTGATCCACCAGAGGTGTCCCTACTCCGAGTGCATCCTGGATGATCGAGTTCCTTACCCTATCTCTAAGACAAAGCTCATTTCACCCGCTTGTATCTGGCATCTCATTCCTTCAGTTGTTATCCTGTTTTCATGACCATAAATGAGGGAAGGAACATAGACCAACCGTTAATCAGCTTTGCCTTTTGGCTCGGCTGCAACAATTTAGTCTAAATAAAGATTGTTTATTCTGGAACTTGTTTAAATTTGTTGAAATCAAAATAATACATGACATGGATAAACCAATTACAACTATAATGCTGTGTCTATTTTGCCACCGTAAGAAATATATTTCCTTCTCTGTTTTTCAAACAAAGGTAATCTAATCATGCTTTACATGTTTATTTAACATTCTTGAGTACATGAAATGTCACCGTAAAACTGATATTTCTATTTTAGGCTATCACAAAGAGGAAGTTTGGAACATAATTTCATCAAGTTCTCAATTTCCTGCCTTAACATATGTTTGCTGCTTTTCAGCTCCAAGCATTCACACCCTGCATTTTAATACATCTGAATCCACATCAAAGCCTTTCTCTGTTATATATTTCCATGCTTCTAAACTGGAATAAAGTCATAATCCAGTGACTGTAACATAGCCTGCGGGGATCACATTTCCACCTGCTATGAGTGTCAAATCCTTTTAAATTATTTCGTTCCATTATTGTTACTCCTCCAAATTCCTAACGGACTGTGCTGCCTGCATAAATGGCCATACAAACATGGCAGCTGGTCTGTTATTTCACATCCATACAGAGTGAGAACAAGAAGTGAGAAATAGTCTTTTTTTTTCTCACCACCAAACTAAATAGGTGGCTAGGGTGACCCATGAGATAAGGACTCATTCACATGTCAGTGGCTGTCTTCCTGTCTGCTGAATGTACCGCACCTCTGTCACTCACTGAACAGAAAAAAGCAGAAAAATACAAAAGCAGAAATACTGTCAGTGTTTTGAGTGTTATTTCTCATTTTTAATGGAAAAGAGGAAAAAGGACCAGGGGCGGAGCTAGACATTCTCATAATCAGGGGCTTGGCCTGCAAAATATTCTAATCTTTCTCACAATAGTTTGCTTTAAATGTTGCTTCTTCCATCCAAGTAAACCAGTAAGAAAACTGTATAGCTTAGCTTGGTTTGACAACCACCTAGCTCAAACAGCTTTTCAGCTCATTTTACAAATTTTAAAGGAGGAGGGCCTTAAGATGGATCCTCCAAAAATGTGTCTTTGATGTTCTTTTTTTTATTAACAAATGCTAACCAAACATTTAACAGTTCAGGAACAAAACGACAACCTCTTCCTTCTCACTCTCTTTGCTTCTTTAAGTCACCACCAACGCTCAAAAGCAGGATCTGGAAACACCTCGGCTCCGTCCCACATGAATTCCAAATAATCAGAAATATCTAATTTACAATAGTGGACATATTAATGAATTCCTTTACTGTACCATTGGTTTTATAGAATGTTTATATAATATAATATAATATATATATATAGATTATTGAATGTCTGTTTGTGTGTATATATATATATATATATATAGATAGATAGATAGATAGATAGATAGATAGATAGATAGATAGATAGATAGATATATGTAGAGATAGAGAGATATATAAACATGAATCGCTTTCTATTTAGTAAACTAACAATAAATCAGAATATTTTATTTATATGTGGATCAATGAGTGTTGTAGTTTAAAATAAAATCCAGCTAGTCAGTGGCACTGTAGGATTTCTAAATGGCCTCTCATGTCTCCTGCTGCTGAGATCTGGCCTTTCTTTAGTTGCACACCAGGAAAGATTTTCTGGTGTAAATAGTCAAATCTTTCCAAGGTAGTCTAGCAACAAACAAGCTATTAGAGTAAGCATTGCCAGTAGGGTGTATTTGTAGGAGTTTTGTGAGGGCAGTATTATCCCAGCTGTGAAAAATGTCTGGCCACCTAGGACAAAAAAAAAAAAAAACATAGTAAAAGATTACAAAAAGAAATATAGTATTTTTTTTTTACAGAAAAAGATGGATATGATTTTGATAATCTAGTGGGGTTAATTTAATTTTATCAATGCAAACAAATATCTAAGTTCCTTCCTCCCTTATAGGTCAGTGAAGACATGATTTTCAGCCCAATATCAAATCAGCATTTGCAGATTGTGCTTTCTGTCCTTTTGTATGAATATTGTTTTCCTCCTAAACAAAGTAAGGTAGCATTACATTCTAAGCTGCTCAAATCTGGAACAAACACTTAAAAACATAAAATGTGCAGAAATCGTTGGCTCCTTATAAGCAGAATGGGGGGCGAATTGGTGTGCAATCTAGATAATTATTTGAACGGTTGAAGAAGTAATTGAAAAGTAGATTCGGATGAGATATAGATTTAATCTTTGCGGCCAGATTTCAATTCAGGCGTGTTATATCTTTTTGTATATGTAGCTACTTTAGTTCAAGATCTTTTTTTATGCTTCTTTTAAGTATGAGTGGTCAATAATTCAACTGAGCGACATGTATATTACAATATAATTGTATTCGATTTGGGTGATATTACTTTTTTATATATAGGCATACATACAGTCTATGATAGTCATTGACTGACTTCAGGGTTTTATGTGGTTAATTGTTGTTGTTTTTTTTAAGTAAATATTTCTAAAATTTAATGTTAGATCATTATAAAGAGCATAATGATCAAAGATATTATGAGGCTACACTGAATTTATATTTTTTCCTGTATTTGTTCAGAAATTAAAATGCTCCGCCCTGAACCATATCCTGTTGTCTTTCCAGGTAATAGGCAGCATTATCCTGGCCATTGGCATCTATGCAGAGGCGGAGCGACTGCGCTATAGGACCCTGGAGGGGATGTTTTTGGCCCCATCTATAATCCTAATCCTGCTGGGAATTACCATGTTTGTTGTTTCATTCATCGGAGTGCTTGGCACATTAAGGGATAATCTGACTTTACTAAAAGTGGTGAGTATTATGGCAAAGGTGTATTCTCTATTTATAGTATTATATATTACAATCAAACAAAAGGCATTCAGTATTTCACCTAGTTATATACTTATCCCACAATAAAATCCGCCTCTATACATCAACCAGAACTTGATGCATGATTTCAGCTGTATGTGAACTTTCATTGTTCAAAGTAATTGGTTATCTTTTTATATTAATAATTGAAGCAATGAGTGATGTATTAATTATTTAAACTGAAATCAAGGCTTTTATTTAAATACTAAATAACACCTATTTTTTTCGCGTTGTTTTAAATAAGCTTGAAATTATTAAAACTATGAATAAAACGTATGACTCTGTGTTTGATGCTGTTATAAAAATGTGCAGTCTGCCTAAATTCACTGGTGAGTATTGAGGATCCAAGACCTGTTAAGGATTTTCGCTGCACCAAAGCATGTCAGTGCAGCCAAGTGTCAAAATCTTGGATCTTTAGCAATCCACTCTGATTGGAAAATTGTAAAGGAACAAACTAAATCATGTCTCAATGTAGTCATAACTAGGTAACAAATTTCATCGGTTATATTGATTTAAGATCTGTGAACTTTCTTTAAATTATTTTTGTCGGATTTAAAGGTTTTAGAGCTTAACCACTATTACATTTTTTGTGATTATGTCAGATGCCACATTGCAGTTGTGTTTGTTGTTTCTTCCACCAATGAAAATCTAAATTAGTGCAATTGATAAAAAAATCTTCTTTACATACACGTTTTTCCAGTTTCGACTGCCATTCCCTGGATCTTACTGTGAACTCTATAAAAGAATCTGCTATAATTGCTGTTTTTTTCTGATTTTTTTTCTGTTTTTATTGAATTATGGATTCTGGGGTTGTGGAAATTGTGGTGAGTGGAAATTTGTGTTTCCAGATAATTGCTTACTTCTCCTCGAGGTGGATTTGGCCTCAGGAGACTTAATTTACCTAAACTGGCTGGTTTTAGATGCAGCGGTGAAAACTGACACACAAAATATGACCTTGGTAGATCACAAGGTTGTGGAAAGTTTTGAATGTTTTTTTTTCTTTAAAAAAAACATATATTAATAGTAATGTTTTTTGTCTCATTGTAGAGTGCCTGAGATATGCTTCTCCCTTTTTGTCTGTTTCCAAACTATTTAGTTCAGTGTCGCAAAGCTTGTCTCGTAAATAAAGCTACAGCACTTTGGCACATTGGTTTGTTATCCAGCTGCTTGTATATTGTCCAACCCATCTGTTCTCAACTTTGTTAATATGAAGGCCATAAGCTGTTGGGGTGCTGTGCTGTGTTCTTCAAAATTAGGTCATGAATTACCATGATTAAAATTGACCTGACTTTGCAAGTACATTCAGAATTGTTCACGCTGTGACAAATCTAAATATAAATCATTTCACCATCCTGGCTATGCTTTCTCCTTCCTGATCCTCCTCGATAAAAGACATATAATTAAAACACAATCTTGTCTTTATATCTAAACAAATTTGAAATTGAACTGTTTGTTGGTTGAGAAGCAGTGAGGCATTACACTGAGATAATTTAGCTGCTACCATCAGCTGACTTAACAGGTTTTAGTAGCGTCGGTGTTGAATAGATTCCTTTCCTATCTTCCAAACATGCATTTTGTCATGCCTTTCCAATGAATTATCAAATACTTTTTCTGAACAATTTATTTTCTTTTTTCATATAGTCAGAAACTGAGGGGGTGATATTTAGCCTTCAACTAATATCAAGCTGTGAACTGCTGTAAAGAAAACCTTAGCTGCAGCTCTGTCAGTGGCTCATACGGTGCTCCATCTTAGCATGTGGTGAATTTAGACTCTGAATAGAAACCCTTTCCCCACGGGATGCATCAACAGAAGAGGCTGTGTTTCCAGTGTAGAAAATGATTGAACTGTGCATGCAGTTGTTTGAAAGCAGCAATAGGGAGACGGTGCACTCTATTAGTGACAGCCATACAATGCTATACTGCTGAACAGCAGATGACTTTTAGCTGCTCTGTTGACACCTTTAGCTTTTTCCAGGAATGTGTAACCTGGAAATGCTCAGTAAGGGACTAATATATTCTAAAGGGTTCCTGCCTCAGAAAAAAAAAACCTTAAAGAGGTTATTCTAAGGTTGATGTTAAGGTGGCCCTTCGTGTCCATAGGCCAGTATCAGTATCAGTATACTGGCATATTTTATAAGTGTCAAATATGTTGACGCATATCAAACAACACCACCCAGAAATCCCTTTCACCAGCACGAGACGGAAGAAAAGTGTCCAATAACGTCTCCCAAATGTATTAAAACAACCCCTTGATCCGAATACACGCAGAGCAAAAAAAAATTACCACCGAAGCGATTGGAATTTACACCGCATCTGCCACGCACCCTTATTCCACAGTAGAAGTGGCAGGATTGAACTGCCTTTGAGGATAGCCTTTTGGTCATTTTCTTTTTCCCTGCAATGTTCCGACAATGTACCGAACCATAGGGTCCATAAGGTACGTACCGCACTGTGAGTTTTTTGTACCGTTCTACACCTAGTGGAATATAAACAATAAATATGAATATCACAGTAATTTCCTGTGGCAGATACTAACTCTGTTTTTTTTACTTTCATATGTTCTGTCACTGCAGAGCTGTAGCTCTTAATAAGTCCATAATTTGTACACCAACCTTTGTCCACATACATACAGTTCTCCTCCCCAGGTTTTACCCAACCGTGGTCCTGATCTGCTTTGGATAAATGAAAACCGTTGGTCTGGAAGGCTAAGTCTGGCATCTAAGAGATAAGCCAGGTTTCCATCAGGCGAAGAACAGCACAATTCTTCATCTGTAGAAGCACTTAACAGACAGCAGATCCTTATTATGATGCAGTGACTGGAAAGTGGTCAGAAAGAGAGTTGAAATCAGAGGCTTCCTAGTCTTTAGCTGGGCCAACACACTCTCTTGCTTCCCCCTCTTCTGTTTATGGGTGCTATGTTGTGATTCAAGACTGTTGGAGACACAACGTTGAACATTTTATGTTTCAGGTTTGTAATGATTTTTATAGATGAAAACTTCTGTACAGATTCAGATGAATATGTTTATCTAGTTACAATGAAATAAGATATTAATATATATATAAGATTGCAATGTGTGTATAAATTTGATCAGCACATTAAATTGCATCGAATGATTCCAGTATCGGTGTGGGAAATATCTTTTTTATGAAGGAAGGCTTAGATGTAATATAGGCTACAACGTTCTAGCTTCCATGAATATAAACTTATTAATGGTATATTTGGCCCATTGTTTTCTTTTTTCCATTAACTTTATTAATTATGCTCACATGCACACCTGATTCAGATGTTAATGAATGAGATGACAAAATTTAAGTAACTGTTGTGACAAGGCCAAAGGCTGTGTAACCGACCTAAAGAAAAAAAAAAGGCATTTTAAAACTAAGTGAAAAGGGATGGCAAGTTTTGCGACTGGCTTGTGTACAACATCAAATCAGAGGAGATGCACTGTCAAGATTGTTGTACGTATGGCTTGGAGAAAGCAAGATCAGACCTTGTAGAAAATCCAGCTACTGCGGCAGTGGAGGAAGCAGAGGTGAGTGTCTGCCCGCCTCCTCCTCTCTTAAGGCTCAGAGCCCTCAGTCTATGCTCTTTGAAAGGGTTTTCTGTAAGTCTTGTCATAAATAAGATTAAATTGGTAAATAATCCGACAGCACTTTAATTCATATTCTCCACAAGTTCATGAACCTTTCTAAAGCATGTGAATGGCTCAGAGCCATTTACCTTTATTTTAAACCCGAAAAGATGTCTACTGGTAAAAAAACAAAAAACAAAAAAAAACATAGCTGCGTTGCAGGTGGATCGGGAAATCCACCTGCCATAGTGGCTGGTGGCCAAAAAAAATCAAGTTCAGGCCCTGGATATTAATCATCACTAGCTGCTGTGTGTGCTCTGCACGATTACGTAATTAGTGTTACAATCATAAAATTGAAGTCTGTAGATCACTTTAACTGTATTGCTGTGCATGATATCATTGAAAATAGAAATGACTGGATTGTAATGCTATATCTGATTGAGGCTAATAAGTCAATATCGGAGCCGATATTTGTGCATCTTTACTTTTCCCTACCCTAACCATTATCCTTATGAATATGAAATAAAACATTAACTCTTTGTTGAACATGTTGTTTCTGAAATAGACTAAAGACAGTTGGCTTTAGTCTGCAGTAGTTGCAGTCAGTCATCATGGCAAATTTACACAAATGCTTCTTATAAGGTGTACTGAAAAGTTTTGTCTGTGTTTGAGGGGAATTAACTTTTGCTGAATTGCTGATTTTTAACAGTTTGTTTTGACTTCATTGGAAGGATAAATCATCTCTTTGAGGAGTATCAATATATCAGTCTGTGCTATTTTAAACTACCTGTAATATCACCTTGGCAAACCAAAAAGAGATAAAGCACAATTAGCAGTGGTGGATCAATTTTCAACATAGCCTTGTATGAACTTTACTCCATTAGTCTACATGGAGGAGCCACTCAGCTTCAAAATGTTGGTAGAAACTGTTGATTTCAGGTCCCCATTTTCTATGTATTAAGGTCAGTGCTGCGATTTGGCATTTTTAAATCATTAAATTTATTCCTTTTTTAACCATACTCTGCAGAAAAGCCTTGTTTGCTTAAGGTTATTGTCCTGCTGCACGACCCAGTTACTTCTGAGATTTGAATCACATATATGAAACTGACATTTCTATGCAAAATTTGTCGTAGTTTTCACAATTCAGTACCCTTCTATTTGGGTAATGACAGCTCACAGCGAAAGTTGCCTCAGGGAAAGTTGCAAACAGAAAAAAACATCAAATTCCATTTGAGTGTGTAGTTACCCAATGTCTTAACAGCAAGTGCCAGATATGGTACGGCTGCTGGTTGTCTATATTGGTTGGGTGAAAGGACAGAAAGGGGGGAGAAAATATCAGGAAGGAACATTAAACACAAGGGGAGCAGAGGA